TTTAAAAAAAACAAAACTTTTTGACTGTAATATAATAGCAGTCAGTTTCCTTCACATGTGTGCGTTTCAGGGCCTGCCAGGGCACAGTGTCACACCAGTGCAACTCATATCTGGTGTAACTGTAGTGTACATTTAAAAAAGAAAAATACAGTTTTGACTGCAATAGATTGAATAGCAGCTAGTTGTCTGCCAGCGTGTGTGTCAGGCTCACAGCGTATACTGTGCCCACTGGCCCAGTGCCACCACTCATATGCAGTGTCACAATAGCTTGTATTTAACAAAAAAAAAAACTTTTTTGACTGTAATATAATAGCAGTCAGTTTCCTTCACGCGTGTGCGTTTCAGGGCCTGCCAGGGCACAGTGTCACACCAGTGCAACTCATATCTGGTGTAACAGTAGTGTACATTTAAAAAATGTGTGTCAGGCCTACAGCGTCTACTCTGCCAACTTCTGCCATTGCACAGTGCCACTCATATCTGTTGTCACAGTAGCTTGCACGCATAGTACCACTAATCGAAAAAAAAATGACAGGCAGAGACAGGCCACCCCGCAGGGGCCGTCGTGGTCGTGGTGCTGTGATTCCCTTTGGCCCTAGAATAATGCCCAGTGTTCAGAGGTCACGTACCCTGAACTCGAAAAGTTCTCAGGACATAGTTGACTGGCTAACACAGGACACCCAATCTTCTACAGCTTCCGCTCGGAACCTTGACGCACCTTGGCTTTTCCCTGTTTATTCTGAATTCTGGTTTCCCTGACTTGGCTTGTGTAAACGGTATTGTGTATTTTCTGGCTTCCTTGACCTCGGCTTTCCCTTTGACCATTCTCTGTCTCTAGCATATTAGTCCGGCCATTCTAAGGTCCGGTTTACGCTCTGTCCTTTTATTTTCCTTTTCTTGCCTATGTATATGTTTACATAGTTTCTGCGTGCTGGACCACACTAGTAGTCGTGACATTGGGATTAAACTGATAAGAATAGTACTTCTTAACACACCACTCCTATCTGGTGGCACATTAGATTGCACGCGCAGTGCCCCAAATTTGAAGTAGGAAGACCGACCAAGCATCTTTTTCCATCTCCCGGTTCATAAAATCGATGCCATATACACGTCCCCTGATAGGGGACGTAACAGGGATTAAACTGATAGGAATAGTACTACTTAACACACCTTATAATAACGCAGAGAGAGGCAACGCAGAGAGAGGAGTCTGAAGAAGAGGAGTCAGAGGAGGAAGGTGGCTTTGAGGAGGTGGAAGACCAAACACAGTAGGCGTCCCAGGGGGCTTGTTGTCACCATTTGGGGATCCTTGGTGTTGTACGTGGCTGGGTGGAGGAAGAGACCTTCAATGACATCAGTGAGGACAAGGAACGGGACATGGCTAGCTTGGTATCCAACCTTGTGCAAATGGGGAGTTTGCGGTTGTTTGCCGTGCGTTAAACGGGGAGTTTGGTCTGTTACTGTGAAGCGGGCGTAACCCTTACACTACCTGATCGATACAACATCATACCTGATGTTTTAAAGCATGTTATTCCAAACAATTTAGGAATGTTAGGTGATTTATGCCCTTTATGGATTAAAACCAGACACTGCATCAACTATGTAATTTTCCATGGGAGTTTTGCCATGGATCCCCCTCCGGCATGCCACAGTCCAGGTGTTAGTCCCCTTGAAACAACTTTTCCATCACTATTGTGCCCAGAAAGAGTCCCTGTGGGTTTTAAAATCCGCCTGCCTATTGAAGTCTATGGCGGTTTTATTTTATGTTAGCGACATCACTAAAGTCAATATAAAAGTATCATAGTCTTTTTGATCCAGTTGTCCAATTTCTACAAATACCAACTCTCATGGGCTAAATTCCTTGAGATATTTGTAAATTCCTGATCTGCTCACCCAACCCCTCTGCCCCAAACTGTGCATTTCAGACTCTCCTGCTTTATAGTATATTAGAAATACTTTGCACCAGTTTAGATATGAAAAAGGTTGTATTTGAACAAAGTGGACTCATCCTTACTACAAGGTCTTTGTCAAACCTCCACAAAGACTTGTAATAAGGTGCAAACATTGCAGAGTCCACTGGTGGAATACAATCTCCATCATTAACATATGTGGAGTTGTGACTTATTTATTTCCCGTCTGCTGTTGGTGGCTATTGCAAGGAGGTCCCATGGGCTAGCACCCAGTTCAACTTTCACAGAGTCCTCAGATCGACCTCTTGCATTAGCCTAGTCGTTATTCTTTAAATTTTCTCTGACGTATTTATAGGATGCCTTAATGAAGATTGTATCAAACTATGGACACAATATTCTAGATAAGATATCTCATAAAATGGAGTTATTAACACTCCTTTTAATTCTAATAGATTTCATTATACAACCACAGGATGTTTTCTTACAGTTAGGTTAGGCAGTAACTGTTGATGTTTAGAAATCTTTACTAAATTGAGTTTATGCTTTAAATTAACACTTTTCTTTAGATGGGATAACTACATAACTGCCTTCATAATCTGTGTTTCTACATTAAGGTTTGGCCCTTAACATGACATAAGGGGAACTGCCAGGTTCTTCCACAAACAGAAGAAAGACACAAACAAGGAAAAAATGGACCTTTATAAAACTAAAGTGACATCACTTGCAGATAATTCTGGCCATATTTTTTTCCATAGACTGAATGAAGGAACCTAATGTGATGCCATAACTGAAGCCTGTATTCACCATGGCTGACAACCTTACTGCCTTCTACTACTTTACAATGTATTCCTCGGGGCAATGAGTTGCAGTGGGGGAACTCTAGACCCCCTTAGACCTTACTGTGACACCAATGTTGGAATAATCAGTGCCTGCCATGTGTGCTTTGGGGTCACCAAATATATACACCTTGCAATTATTCTAACCCCCCTTCCCTCCCCAGCTAAATGTAGTGAGACTGCCTTGATCCTTGCAGACTTATTGTCTTCTCACAGCGTGATCTATCCTGTCTTTCTTTGAAAGTTCTACTCTGATACAATAATACAATATAAATATTCATAGGGGAGCAATGAGGAGACAGCGCAGGAAATCATGTGATTACTACCAAAACCATCTTTTATGTTCAGTTTCCACTATCGAGAAGTTCTTAGGTTTTTTTTTAGCTTTTTTTGTTCTCTGAACATTGAATTCAAGGTTTCGAACAGCTTTGTTGTAAATATCTCATTTTTTTTAACTATTCAGTTGTGACTGCATCAGTCTCACATCTCTGATTTTATTGCTGTCAATACATTTAACCAGCGCACTGTTAATTCTGCTAATTAACAAGCTGATTGTTCTACCTCGTCGGCGCCACCCATTTGTCTGGTTCGGTTGGTAAAATATTATTGTTGTAAATCTATACGCTGCGCGGCATAATTGCATTCCCTTTATAGAAAACAATATTTTTACTCCGGTTGTTTAAATTAAATGTCTGCAGGGGTAGAAAATAAAAGTAAAAGTGGCGATCAAGGAGGAAATTAAAAGTGTAAAATTTAATTGGTATTCCTAAAAACAGCCTTGGAATGAGCAATATAGGATACAATGTAACGCTCTCCTTTTATGATGTTTTGTCTTAACCCTTGGATGGACAGCGTGTGCAAAGCAGATTATGTTCGTAACTTCTAACATTGAGTGTGAGTGCTAGATTGCTTACTACAACAATGGCTTTCAGCAACATCCATTGAGTGGGTACTCCAAGCCTCTGACCATCAGTTATGACCCTTATCTGCATTTTATATATCTACCGGACTTAGATTTCCTTCATGAGGTCATTCTTCTTCTGCTACTCTTTTCGTAGTACCTGAGTCAGACAGACGATAGGAGATGATGACACATAGTTACCAACTATCCTGTTATTTCCAAGACAGTCCTATGTTTTGGGCTCCTGTTCTGGCAAGTAACAATCCTGGGACATGTCCTACATACCTGGCAACTAGGTTGAGCTGTTCCCCCAAGCCTCCACCTCACATCCCATTTAGCTACTCTATAAAAAAACACTACTATATTCAATCAGTTGTATTACAGAAAAAAAAATGTGCATATTCAAAAATGATGGTTATTTGCAGAAATGTAGTTAATTTAAATCCTGGAAATTATATTTCAAATTTCAGCAACTATTATGACATCATGATTTCACTGACATTATTATTATTATTATTATTTATATAGCGCCAGCAAATTCCGTAGCACTGTACAATGGGTGGACTAACAGAAACGTATTTGTAACCAGACAAATGGACAAACAGGAACACAGGAGGGATTGAGGGCCCTGCTCAATGAGCTTACATGCTAGAGAGAGTGGGGTATGGTTACACAAATGAAATAGGTTGCTAGAAAAGTATTCACTGAGAACTTAGTAGTAGTAGTAGTAGTAGTCATGGGGTGGGGGGCGGGATGAAAACCTGCTAACAGTTTAAATGATATGCTTTCCTGAAGAAGTGTGTTTTCAAAGATTTTTTGAAGGAGTGAAGACTGGGTGAAAGTCTAACGGAGAAGGGAAGGGAGTTCCACAGAAGAAGTGCAGCCCTGGAAAAGTCTTGGAGGTGAGCATCAGATGTGGGAGTACCGACAAAGGATAGACGTAGGTCTTTAGTGGAGCCTAGGGGCCTCTATGGGACATGCTTGTATATTAGGGAGGATAGGTAGGTTGGAGCAGCATTGGGTAGGGATGTGTAAGCAAGCACCAGCATCTTAAATTAAGCACTATATCTAACTGGAAGCCAATGTTGGGACTGACAGAGGGGGGAGGCGTGGGAGGTGCGGGCGGACAGGAAAATGAGCCTCGCCGTCGAATTCATTATAGATTGCAGCAGTGCAATCTGGGAACACGTAAGACCACTGAGAAGGGTATTGCAGTAGTCAAGGCGAGAAAGAACAAGAGCATGGACCAGCACCTTAGCCGCATCCGGGGGTTTAATAGGGGCGGATACAAGCTATGTTTTTGAGATGGATGCGCCAGGATTTAGTGATCTAGTGAACATTATGGGTGAAGGTGAAGTCGGAGTCAAAGAGAACACCTAGGCAGCGAGCCTGCGAGGTAGAGGTGATGGTGGCGCCGTTGACTTGGAGGGAGACAGACACGGGAGTCGCAACACTTGAGGGAGGAAAGACCAGAAGTTCTGTTTTGGACAGGTTAAGTTTAAGGAAGTGAGCAGCCATCCAGTTGGAAATTGCAGAGAGGCAGTCAGAAACACGAGTCAAGGTGGGCGGAGAGAGATCAGGAGAGGACAGGTAGATTTGTGTGTCATCTGCATATAAATGATAATGGAATCCAAAGGAGCTGATGAGTTTACCAAAGGAGGCAGTATTGATAGATACCAGTAGGGAACCAAGGACAGAAACTTGGGGAACGCCAACAGAGAGGGGTTGGGTAGAAGAGGCATAGCAAGAGAAAGAAACATTGAAAAAGCACTGGGAGAGGTAGGAGGTGTACCAGGAGAGAGCAGTATCCCGTAGACTGAGATTATGGAGAATGAGAAGAAGCTGTTGATGATCAACAGTGTCAAAGGCAGCAGAAAGATCAAGGAGAACTAGGATAGAGTAATGGCCACGAGATTTGGTCACAGCTGTTTCAACAGAGTGACGAGCGCAGAATCCAGACTGAAGCGGGTCAAGCAGAGAGTTGCATACGAGGAAGTCTGTCAATCTTGCATACACAACTCTCTCAAGGATCTTGGAGGCAAACGTAAGTAGCGATATAGGGGGGTAGTTGGATTGGAAGTTGGGGTCAAGGTTGGGCTTTTTCAAAATCGGCTTTATGGTTGCATGTTTAAAGAGTGAAGGAAATGTGCCAGAGGAAAGGAAGAGATTTAAACTTTTAGTGAGAGAAAATGCAAGAGAGGGAGACAGAGTTCAGATGAGATATGAGGGAATAGGATTGAGGGAACAGGTTGTGGAGCGGGAGGACCAGAGCAGGGAAGAAACCTCTTCTTTTGTAGTAGGTGCGAATGAGCATAGTACAGTGGAGTAAGTGGGGTTGGGTGATGTATTGGAAGGGGAGGGAGAGAGGTTAGAGATCTCTTCCCTGATTGTAGAAATCTTCTTAGTGAAATGAGTTGCAATGTTGGAGGTGGAAAGGGTGGTAGGAGGAGGGGGAGCAAGAGGGCGAAGGAGAGCATTAAAAGTGTCAAATAGTCATTTGGATTTGCGGGAGAGTGTGCTTATGAGAGTATTGAAGAAATTTACTTTTGCAAAGAAAGAGCCAGAGTGTAGGAGCGCAGCATAAATTTAGTGGAGGAAGTCAGGTGCAGAGTGAAACTTTCTCCAACAGTGTTCAGCAGTTCTGGAACATTTTTAGAGATAGCGGGTCAGCTTGGTATGCCAGGGTTGCAATTGGGAAAGCTAGCTGCATTTAAATGTAGGAGGTGCCATGATATCTAGTTGAGAGGAGAGAGTGAGTTGTTGAGTGAGGACAGAGTTAGGGCAAGTGAGATTTGAGATGGGTAAAAGGAGAGTTTGGAGTTTGGTGGAGAAATGCTGGAGATCAAGGCAGTTGAGGTTTCTGCGAGATTGGAGAGTTGAGGGTGGTGAGATTTGGGTACAGGGTATGCTGATGTCAAATGTTAGCAGATGGTGGTCAGACAATGGAAATGAAACAGTGGAGAGATTACAGGTGGTGCAGAGATTGGTGAAGATGAGGTCAAGAGTGTTTCCTGCTGTATGGGTTGCTGAAGTAGACCACTGCGTGAGGCAAAAGGAGGAGGTTACAGAGAGCAGACGGGAGGCATCAGGGCAGTTGAGGTTGTTGATTGGGATGTTAAAGTCCCCAAGCATGAGGGAAGGAGTGCTAGAGGAATGGACGTGGGGAAGCCAGGAAGAAAAGTGTTCAATGAATAGCCTAGGATGACTGGGGGGGGTGACAAAGGAGTGGGCTTAAAAAGGTGATGCTAGATGCTAGTACCTTACCAAACGAGCTGCACTTATTTTTAACCTTTAAAAGGTACTATTACCTTAGTGTTGCAATCTTTATATAATAATATATTGCAACCAATTGCATATTGAGTATCACCACTCATTACCCTTTGCTAAACCTAGCTACTTACACTTTATTTTAACTTATTTATTAAAAGTTAATTTTTATATTATTCTTAGGGCACTCAACTGTTCCTTTTTCTGGAATTACTACCTTGGTAGTTTTTTGTGGGTTAACCCCACTATGAGTGTTTTCCCTATAGCTTCCATCCCCCTTTTTCTCTTATAACGAAGCGGGAGTAGCGCTATCAGAGGCGGCAGCCAGGTCTCAGTGAGTGCCAGTAGAGTGAGTGAGTGAGTGATTTAATATTGCTACAGATGGAAGGGCGTTCCAGAGTGCACACTGAATGTTGGTAAGTGAGGGTAAAGGGCAGGGTTTTGTGATGAGGTTTGTGTAGTTTCTGGTTGTCTACGTGTGAGCAGATGAGGTGAAGGGCCCTGGATTAGGAGAGACATCACCAGCGGCTAGAAGGAGACATAGTGACAGGAGGTGTGAATGGGTTTTATTTGAGTGGGGTATAGGATGAGATTGAGTTAGCGCATGAGAGAAAGAATAGAGAAATGAGTGCAGGGCATGAGATGAGAGAAGGGGGGAGTGTAGCAGAGATGGATTAATATGGATATGATTGTGTTGAGGGAAGTGAGTATAAGGATATATTTTGATGCTGAGGGAGATGAGAGAAAAAGAAAAGAGGAGAAGAAAGAGCGTTGCTCCTATGAGTAGGCACTTAGAGAAAGCAGAGTGGGCAGCAGTAGGAGAGTGGGGACTGAGTGTTAGGGGTTAAGGGAGTGCAGGAGTGTTCTGAATGCAGGTAGTGTTTGCAGCTGTCTTTTATAATGATCTAAAATTGTGTGTGAGATTCTATCTATAAATGGAATAAAGAGCTTGGGGCGGGGCGGGCAACTGAGAACTGTTCTGGTTTCCAGCAGGGAACTTTTAACTCAAACTGTGGAAGACAGAGAGGATAGGGTCAAAACGGCCTGCAATAACTCTATGGAATGGAGATGCACAGAGGAGGTGAGGATTGGTCAAGCAAGACATTTGGGTGGGTATCAATAAAATAAGGGGATGGGGGTGAGGATGCAGAAATAACAGAGACAGTCTTTAGAGATAAGCAGATAGGTGAATAACATTTTAGTTAACAAAGCAACAATGTTGAGTGGGGCTGGGAACAACTAGCTTTAGCATGCAGGGCAAGACAAAATAAAATATATAGGTATAAATAAACAGGTACACATCCACACCCACAACTGCAAATACATACACATATATATTCTCTGCCTTAAACAGACATAACTGGTCACTGGCTCACTGGAGTTTGCTTGAAAGTAGGCTATTTAAAGTAGGAGTTAAAACAACAGGAGTTGAAACTACAAGGGAGTTAAACCCCTTAAGACCGCAGGGCGTTCTATGCCGTCCTTATTTTGATGGCTCATAGAACTCCCTGCGATCTTTTGTACTAACCAGGTCGCCGGCGATCCCACGGGAGTCCCAGGGAGTCCCCCTCCATCCTCTTCGGCCCCCCTGGGCCATGTGATCCCGAGGTCCTTGCGAGGACCCCGCGATCACATGGACGGCATAGCCGTCCAAGGCATTCCCAGCAGGGGGAGTGCCTGTAAATTAAAAAATGTTAAAATAATATATATAATATTTATTATATATATGATCCAAGTACATATACACATAAATACACATACACTGTCTAAGTGTATTTTAATATTAATATATACATAATTATATATATATATATATATATATATATATATATATATATTAATATCAAAATACACGTACAATGATATTAATTAAATATATATATAATTTTCATTATAAATATATATTTATATATAATAATAAATAAATAAATATATAAATACGTTAAAAAATAAAATTAAAAAAATAATAAAAAATAAATAGATAAAAAATATATATACATGGGTAATTTCGTTCTAACTGTATTTTAAAATTAATATATATATATATTAATATTAAAATACATGTAGAATGAAATAATATATATATCTATATACATAAGTATATATGTAGATATCACTATATATATACCTATATATAAATAAAAATAATAAAAAAATTATATACATATATGTATATATATATATATATATATATATAATAATTCTACATATATATTTATGTAATAATTTTACATAATTAGGTCATTTTATTAAAGGAACACTATAGTCCCCTAAATTACTTTAGCTAAATAAAGCAGTTTTAGTGTATAGATCATTCCCCTGCAATTTCACTGCTCAATTCACTGTCATTTAGGAGTTAAATCACTTTGTTTCTGTTTATGCAGCCCTAGCCACACCTCCCCTGGCTATGATTGACAGAGCCTGCATGAAAAAAAAAAAACTGGTTTCACTTTCAAACAGATGTAATTTACCTTAAATAATTGTATCTCAATCTCTAAATTGAACTTTAATCACATACAGGAGGCTCTTGCAGGGTCTAGCAAGCTATTAACATAGCAGGGGATAAGAAAATCTTAATTAAACAGAACTTGCAATAAAGAAAGCCTAAATAGGGCTCTCTTTACAGGAAGTGTTTATGGAAGGCTGTGCAAGTCACATGCAGGGAGGTGTGACTAGGGTTCATAAACAAAGGGACTTAACTCCTAAATGGCAGAGGATTGAGCAGTGAGGCTGCAGGGGCATGTTCTATACACCAAAACTGCTTCATTAAGCTAAAGTTGTTCAGGTGACTATAGTGTTCTTTAATTACAATTTGCAGGACCTGCCTGACAACCCAGGCCGAAACTCCAGGGAATTTAATTTACTAGCACTATATTTAACCCTGTAACTTTCCAAGACACCATAAAACCTGTACGTGGGTGGGGTGGGGGGGGGTGGTACTGTTTTACTCGAGCGACTTCACTGAACACAAATATTAGTGTTTCAAAACAGTCAAATGTATTACAACGATGATATCATCAGTAAAAGTGATTTTTTTGCATTTTTCACACACAAATGGCACTTACACTGACAATATAATTGTTGTGATACATTTTACTGTTTTAAAACACTAATATTTGTGTTCAGCAAAGTCTCCTGAGTATAACAGTACCCCTCATGTACAGGTTTTATAGTGTTTTTGAAAAGTTACAGAATCAAATATAAGGCTTGCGTTTCAGTTTTTTCACATTGAAATTCGCCAGGGTATGTCAAGTCTTTTTTAGAAGCCACTTAGTCACAAACACTGGCCAAAATTGGCATTCAAATTAGTTTTTTGCATTTTTCACACACAAACAAATATTAACACTAACTTTGGCCAGTGTTTGTGACAAAGTGGCTACTAAAAAAAAGACTGGACATACCCCATTTGCAATACTTTGGGTTGTCTTCTTTTGCAAATGGTTTGCCATCATGGGGGTAATTCTCATTCCTGGGCTACCATACGGTCTCAAACGCAACATAACCAATCTGGCGAATTTCAATGTGAAGAAACTGAAAAATGTAACATGCTATATTTGACCCTGTAACTTCGCAAAACACCATAAAACCTGTACATAGGGGGTACTGTTTTACACTTGAGACATCACTGAATACAAATATGTGTATTGCAGTAAAAGCAAACAGTATTATGACATTCACAGTTAAGAGAGTAGATAATGTAATCTGCCACTCTGATCGACAGTTTGCTGTCTCTCGGGTGCTCGGGTCCGACATGTTGCCGACAGAATGGAGGGATTATTGGGAGGGGCTGGAGATGACCCAACTGTCATGGTCCATATTGGTACCAATGACCAAGTCAGAGGAAAATGGAAGGCCATAAAGAGTGAGTTCAGGGATCTAGGAAGTAAGCTAAAGAAAAGGACCTCCAAGGTAATATTTTCAGAAATATTACCTGTGCCGCGCACTACAGCAGAAAGGCAGCGGGAGATTAGAGAGGTCAATGCGTGGCTGAAGTCAGGAAAGTGGGTTTTGGGCCAATTTTGCGCTTGGGTACAACCTGTATAGTCATGATGGATTGCACCTAAACGGAAGCTGTGCTTGGGGATAGGATGGTTAGAAGGTTGGAGGAGATTTTAAACTAGTAGTGGGGAGGAGGGTCAAAGCAATCTAGAAAATGGAGATAGGATGGAAAGGAGATGGGCTTTAGCTCAGAACAAAGGGGGTGGAGATGGGGGAAGTCCCTCCCACCCAAAAAAGAGGTTTATTTCAATACAGAGGCCCAAGTGTGCACGAACGTGAGTGACTGGGGAACTGTTACTTTCAGAGAACTGATAGTTCTGCTTTATTTCAAAGTTGCCAGCAAATAGTATTGATCTCGATGTTTGGCGTAAATGATTGTACTAGCCAATTCTGGAGACATTACCTCCTTTCCTAATAACAAGAGAAGATAAAACATAAAGAAAACAAACACATGGGAAATTGCATATTGTATTGCTTGCAATAAGAAACGTCTTTATTTTTCAATATAATAGCGCACATCTTCGAAAACGATAAGCAAGATGCAGAGCCAAATGAAATTCAAGAAACCAGTTGATTTTATTGGTTAGGCACGTCTTATTTGGAGAAATATACTCACTAAATCTAATTCTTATAATGTAAGGACTCCGTAGGGAAATTTACCTCTACAGTGATTCTCAACAACCCTCTTGGGGTCCCCAGAAATCCGGTGAGTGCTTCAATTCCTTCCAGCTCTTCGAATTTGCGTTTAGCATTAAAAAAAATAGTTTTATTAAGATATGAATAAAATTCACAAGTGTTATGTGTCAGTAAATGATGGGCTCTGGGGAAAACTTGGTTTAAATATATAAATCAATAAGATTTTTTGTTTCCTTAGCAGAAATAGATGTCATAGAAACGTTCAACTCTTTCACTACCAGGTGAGCAGAGCTTCTTTGGAAAAACATTTTTTTTTTGTGTAGTTTCCGTGAGAAAGAGATGCCAAGTCAGCTAATTGATAGTTAAAGGGAAGCTATAGCCCAGAAAATAACAACCGTAGTAGGTTCCCTTCTCCCCACTTGCTGATTAAAAATGAAAGAATTATTATAGACCTTGTCTCCAACACCAGGACTCCTTTCCACCTTCAAAGCTGACGGTTTCACTATCTCCTCCAATCCAATGCTTCTCATAGAGACAAAATGGATTGGAGGTGTGCATGCGCTGATAAAATCAAATGGTGATATCAGTTTTTACCCAGTCTGGAGGAGGAAGCACCTCTAGTGGATGTAAGGAAGACGACCAGAGTTAAAATAAAAGGACCACTCCACCTAGACCACTTTATTGAGATGAAGTGGTTGGTCTGGGTGACCATAGCGTTCCTTTAATAAAATATGACCAGTAACTATGTAGAGGTAGAGTCACAGTAAGAGAAACATTCTTATATGGACCCAAATGGAGCAAAAGACAGTTCTATATTCACACCCTATGTTGCCTTTGCTCCCAAGTCACAATTTCATTGCCCCCATCATTAGCCAAGCAGTGTTGCCCTCCTTACACCTTTCAATTCAGCTCCAGCTTTGCTTAAATCTCACAACCAAGGGCTCTGGAATATAACCAACCTTTTATAACTCCTTGTGTACAGTGATATATTTTACTTCCTTTTAAACGGCAGGTCTTACTTTTTTACACAGGAAGGGTTAAACATACTTTGTGAAAGTATAATAAATAAATATGAAAGCTGCATATAATCCCGTCTCTATAAGGGGGTAAAATCAATAAAACTCTAACTAGTATCTTGAATTGATCAGATTTTGTTTCATAAAACACGGGTTAAAATGATGGGATGTCGGTTGTTTCTTTGTAAGCTCTGTATGTACAGTAACAGGGACAATACCGGGTGGAATTTTAATGTAGAAAAGTCCATTTCATCCCAACGTTGATTAGAATAACAGTGCGGCTGGAGAAGCAACATTATTTTATAAATTACATCTTTGAAACCTCTGGGATTGCGCTAAAGATTTGTCCAAGTTCCTTTTTAGAAAGAACAGCTACTCATCAACATATCTGCCAGTCTGCCAACAATCCTCAGGCTGGCATAGTATTAGAATCTATCTCTGGTATATATAACGTCTCCTGTCAGGAGTCTCGGAGTGCCAAGGGATTGAGAGATGATGGCTTGGAATCGGTGTGAGTGACAGCAAGTCAAGGCGTGAGAAGGAAGCCAGGGGTCAGAGATGGGAATGTGCTGCCCTCTGGGGTGGAAGGTAACGATATAACACAAAAGGAGGGCATGTTGATGAGTATATGCCATCTTTACGCATGCTTCATGTCTGTCTACTTGTCTTTTCAGAATGCAGTGTGATTTGGATCCCTTGATTTGATAGAATGCTGTTTTATATTCTGGAGAAATGCAGCAAGATGAGATCTGAATAAGGAATCTCTCAATCCATACCAAGTGGCCCTTTTTAGAGCGCCAGTCCCTTTTTAAAACCAAAATCTTTTGATAATTTATCCTGATTAGGCGTGTCTCGTTTAGACAATAAAAAATGGAGGTTTCTAGGAATTTCTATCAGAGTGTCAGCCACAAACTTGCAGCAATAAAACTCCAGGAATTTGTGATTTGGTAATGTATCAATCATTTGTAATGTAAATGCACGCATTCCATGTGTATATCAATGCCCCAAAATACCTTTCAGGCAGATGAATGGGAAGTCATAGGGATACCATTATTTTATGGACTGATTAGGGTGGGATGTCAGACCCCCATAATATTATGTTCTTTGCACACGTACTGCACACGTGTTGCATGCATTTTCACTTATCATGAATGACATGTCCTTGGTTGCAGATCCAGCAAGACGCAGCAGATTCAAATGCGAAGTGCTCTAAAGTTCCACCTGTCCAGATGGGGCCATGGTTAGCATCGGGGCCACCACTACTGTTATTTAGTATTTTGCTAATATACTAATTAACAATTAAGTTGTCTACTGGCGTGTTGTTATTGGTGGTGTTCTGGATACTTGGAGTTTTGAATTTCTGAGTTGATCGCTCCCCTGCCCAGTCTCCTTGTTGACTCTTTACATATAAACTCACAGTGTGCTGCTTTCACCCCCGACTGAGACTCAAAGAAGAGACTGGGCAGGGGAACAGCACGGCAGCAATGGTAGAACAGATCTAAGGACTAGAGGTACCAGGCCAGGATGCTTTCTGTCTCCTCTCCCTCACTCTGTAAGTGACATCGAGGAAAAGGATGTTTCTGCTTTTTAGGTGGGGAATGCGAAATACATATTTTATTTTTTTAGGGTGCCAGTGTATGTTTGTGTGTGTGTGTGTGCCTGTATGTATATTTGTGTGTGACTGTATGTGTATGTCTATGTATGCCTGTGTCTGTGTGTAAGCCTGTCAGGGCCAGATTAAGAGCCCAGTGGGCCTGGTGCTGACAATTATGACGGGCCTAATTACAGAATCATATCGACCAAAAACAGTAAAACACTCCCAAGCGTCATGTATCTGATGGAGATGGTGCTGGAGAGAAAGAAAACAGCAGCTATAAGAAAACACATAACCTAGGCTAATCTCTCACTAATTTATGTTTTCATCTTTCAAGTAAATCCATAACCCCTAACAGGAGTGTCCAGTCAAGCAAGAAGTCAATGGGCACGGTAAAAGGGTGTGCCACTGACACAAATCACGTAACCTGCCAAAAGGGGTGAACATGCCCAAAAAGAGGACATGTCTGCCCAAAGAATTAGAAGGCCAGCCTGGCATGAATGCATGTCAGGCTGCCTGCCAATCATGCAGCTGGCCAACTAAGGGCATA